AATCATGCAGAGGCCATCGACGACCGAATTACCATTTGTATGAAAAAGTCATAAACGACTTCCATATAAACGGAGCCCAAAGTCATTGAAGACCTAACATGGCCGTACACGATACTTAAGTGACTATTGCATGATATTCGCTACGGAGTATGTCCTTGAACAACAATCCACAACTACATTTTTAACCGACTTCCTAAAAAGGAGGAGGTTATCAGTTCATCCGAATATTTTTTTTTTGTTATGTTTGTTACCGCATAACTTATGACCACGTCAACCTGATTTCGATAATCCTGTTTGCATCGGAAAGGTAGTGTCTCAGAGGTTGTCCCATAGTAATATGGTTTAAATCCGATCATTGGATCATGATATATATATATATATATATATTTATGAGAATTGAAGTCGGTTTTGTTTTTTGCTAAAAAATTACTTGTTTCACTAAGGATTATATTTCATCAGGTATACAGCATAACTGTTACATGTAGCAAAATATTTTGGGGGTATCGAAAAGTGGTTAGTTGTTTTTTGTTTCTGTGGTACAAACGATTATACAATCCTATTTACTTATTTTTCTCTGTAAAGACAAAATACATGCGTATGTTTTATGTCTGCACATATTTATGTATACAACTTTGCAAAATATTGTACTAAATAATCTATGCATGGGCGTAGCCAGGTAGGGGCGGGGGGGTGCTCGAGCCCCCCCCTAACTTTCAAATTTTCCTTATATATATATAAAATAGTACCCTGAAATGCCAGCTTAATAGGGTCGAGCGCCCCCCTCACAATTTTTCTAAAAATTCTGAATAAAATATTAGTTTTTTTTTTGTCAATGTTATTGTGGCTTGTTAACATTTTATTTTCAATATTTTTATTGAGCTTTGTACCACGATTGTTTATTAGGAAAATTGAAAAAGCAACAAAGTCTAAAAGCTAAATAAAAATATTAAAAATATTAGTTGTTGTGAAGATATTTCGGACCGTTCTAATTTTTCTAAAAAGTTCGAAATGTGCATTTATAAAAAATTAATAAACATTAAACAAACAAAACAAAAACAGCTAAAACTGGTAAAATGTCATGAACCTATTTTTTCACATAGCTGTGCATACGTTTGTATACAAATTATATAGAATAATTTCAAAATGGAATGGAATTAGCTGCACAAATCTAGACTCTGGTGTACTTTAAACCATCGTACAGTTCTATAAGTAACGTAACTCTTCTTCTTACCGTTTTTTATGGCAGGCTGTAGGTGTGATTTTGGCAGGCTCTAGGTGTGTTTTTGCTAGTGTATTGGTGTTTTTGCTTGAGAGTATTGGTTGGTTGCTAGCCAAAATGACGTTAGAATGGGTTTTGTGAAGCACCTT